ATATTTTGAAATTTAAAAACTCAATTCTACATATACTATAAATTAAAAAAAAAAACATTCTATATATATGAACAAAAACGTAAAACTTTTTGGAGAGGAAGAGAAAAAATAAAGAGGAATGAAAACTTTGGAACGAGGAAGAAAAAATATATACATAATTGGATTTTCAATGGAAGAATGAAAAAAATAAAAATAAAAATAAAATAATTTTAAGTCCGATAAGATTCGAAAATGAGTATTTTTTTTGTGCAAATTCTCACACAAGTTATCGTGAAACTTATCAAAATAAATTGAAAATATCTTGAGAGTTATTTATAAGATATTTTAAAATTTTACTTAAACATTTTCATAAATACTTATAGTATCAGATAAATATAAATAAGTTGTTCATAAGATCTTCCAAATAATATCTAAATAATGAGTTTATTAATTATGATAAATAAGATAACATAAATAGAATTAATCTTCTTAATGATATTTAGTTGCACAAGGTGGATGTTGCTTATTACGTCCAAGATGCTAACAAGGTTGTTGTTGTTTCCTAGTTACATTTTCCATTGTCAAAACATTGCTCATGGTTGCCAGATTGACAAATTGACAAATGTATTAAATCATAGGAAGAATTTTCAAAATAAGATTGTTTCCTAAGGGAATTTATGCATTATATGACAATTATAATTCAATACACTATGTTAAAACTCAAAATAATAAAGTTGTAGTTGTTTGAAGTTGGTTTTGCATAAATGAACTTAAAAGCAATAAAGTAAGCAATAGAAATAAATTGGTCGTTTAGGGTTTTTATCAAACAAGTGTGAAAGCGAATACAAAAAATCAAATGAAAAGAACCACTGGAATTGGATTTCACTAGTTCACTATCATGTATTAGTTCATAAAAGGTTTTCCTATATGTTTTTATTTCATCATTACCACATAAAATCTTCAATCCCTGATCTCTTAGGAGCTTAAAACCAAGTATTTAACTCAAGTCATTAACCCTTGGCTAAAGTGGTTGAAATACAAACATTAAAAATAGAAGTAGTTCATAAATGACCATTGAAACTCCAGATCATTCTTAAACATGAATTTCAATGGGTGTTTTAACTCATACATAACTCAAGAAACATTTTCCAATAACAACCCAAGCATATAAATCAACTTAAGATCCAATAAACCAATAAAGCATTAAGGAAAAAGTAAAACACTAATATATGGAACAAAACATAGATTATTGGAGCAAATGTTAATACATGAGGTTCAACTAGTTAGCTACCCATAGCCAATGGAACTACACAAAATGGTGAAGAAATGATGAAGGTGGTGAAATAGAGTTCTCCCAAGGTCTTCCCAGCCTCCAGGTGTCTTGTCAATAGTGTAATGAATACCCTCTCAAATCCCTAAATTTTCTTTTAATAGAATATTTTCTTTGTCTCAAGTGTTTAGGTGTGAAGTTAATTTCGCTCAACGACCATGAGGGCTTGTTGAGTGATAAACAAAGTGTAGTGTATAGGGTGTATTTTTAGTCAACGACCAAGTTGGCTCACTAAGGAAACTCATGGATCTATTACTTATAGGGGTGCTCTCGCTCAGCGACTAGATGCCTTTCTGAGTGAGTGTTAAGTCTCAATTATATCTCTTTTTGGACAAGACTTAATAAACAATTTCACTCATTCTTTGAACCATTGCAATACAATTATTCTCTTTTTAGTTCATTTTGTGTGCAGATATAGCTAACCCATATTTAGCTAACAATACCTTAATACACCTCATTTTTTGTGCAGGTATTGAGCTAGTGACTTGAGGATTGAAGACCCTTAAGATTGGAAATCTAAGGAGTAGGGAGCATAGCAGAGTGGCTGCGCCGGGTGCAACATTACCCGCGCTGGGCTTGAGAAGAACAGAGTGTCTCGTCTTTGCAAGCAATATGCACGCCGGGCGCAAAAGGAACTGCGCCGGGCGTGTTCTGAGGCAGAGAATACTTGACCTCACTGGAAGGCCCCGCGCCGGGTGTGAAGACTTACACGCCGGGCGCGAAACCCTAATCAGATCTTCCAAGCTTGTATTTGAAGCCATTTTCGAGGGTTTCTCCCTCATTCACGCAGGGGCGCCTCCTTGGAGCTGTAGAAGGAATTCTCAGAGCTTTGGAACGTTCATGTGTGGATCTTTCCTTCGGTTCTTCACTTCCCCTTTCATCTCTATTTTGTATTTACCCTCATTGTTGAGTGGTTCCACCCATTTTTTGTGGGATTAGATGTAACCAACGTACTCTATCGTAATTCTTATGTTTTTAATGATATATATATGTATTGTTTCATTCTTTGTTATGTAAGTTTCTACGCTTAATGCTTGCTTTGGATTGATCACCCTTTGCATGATTTAAGGTTCCATTGAGTATTGGAAAATACCATTGAAACTAGTTCTGGAACATATGCCTAGTGGAGATTGTATCTAGGGATAGAGCTTGACCCATTAGTAGTCTTAAACCCTAATCAGTAATGCGGGTGTAGGTATTGGGTACTCAAGGGATTGATATTCAATATCTGCACCTAGGCTCTTTCTCTAAGGGATTAAGTTTGAGTAAACGTATGAGTTGACTAAGCAATGTATGTAACAAGAGATTAAGGATTCATTAGTGTAACGTTTGGTGAAATCTGACCCCCACAACCTCACAAAACCATTATACCATTTCTATCATTTTCCACTCACAAACCAATATTTATTTATAGTTTTCATTCCAATAGTCACAACTTTGAATTCACATGACAAACTATGAAATTGGAATTATTCTTTAGTCACGAATAGTCAATAAATGCTTATTTTACCTTCTAATCCCTGTGGATACGATATTTTTACTACTTGAACGGCGGGTATACTTACCGTGTGTGAGACCGTTGATAGAATTAAACTGATTTACAATTATAACAAAAGTACTTCAACGGAAATCTCAACAGTGAGCCTAAAGCATTGTGGCTTTTCTTATCTCTCTCGCTCAACGACCAAATTGGCTTGCTGAGCAAAAATGCGTATGTGCCACTCCTTTGCTCCTATTAAATCCTATAGTTTAGAAGTCTTTAACCTTCTTCAACCTCCTTTAATCTACAAAAAGGAGTTTAAAAAATGAAATTTGCTTCAAAATTCTAACATTGCACAACTAAATCAAATGATGTTAAGAGGAGATAAACATTATTAAAAATAAGGAAAAAAAGATACTTGTTATGATTCACACACTTAAAGTTAAGTAAATCACATAATTATCACTTATTTGCTCCACATCCACACAAAAATTTGAATTAAAATGTGGTAGATTAAAATGGCTTTGATTCACATTTTGTGAAAAACTCAACCTTTTGATGGAAAAATGATGATTCAAGTACATACTTTGCTTGTATGTGTGAGCTGATGTTGGGCCTGCACCAAATAGATTGTTTATGAACTCTTCTAGAGTCGATGCAAATGAGGCCTTGTAAGCTAATAACAAGTTACCATATATTTAGCTAAACTTATATATCATTTTTGTGAAAATTATATTTGTAAACCTTGAAATTTTAGGAAGCTTGAAGAGACCATTTAATTAAAGAATACTTAAAGTGTGAACAAAGAGATGTTTTACCCTTGTGCTAGTAGTGACATAGAGAGTGAAATTATAAAATTGGTAATATGAAATACTTTTTTTTTTGTCTAGTCTTCCTTATGCATTTAGTGATGAACTTACATTATAGTGAAAGTGGACAGATGGACCCCTCACTTTAATTAAATTATTTGTATATGTTTAAAAATATTATATTTTTCTCTCCCTAATTTTAAATATTAAATTTATTGATAATTATTTTTAACATTTATATTTTGTTCTTTGTATATATAATAATAATAATAATAATTTTATAATTTTTAAAAAAATTGTCCCACTAACCTAGAGAATTGGATCCACCATTATTTAATACATTTATTTCATTTTCAAAAACAAGTTGAACATACCTTATATGGTATTTTTATGAGTACATAAAAATATTTTTATCATTTCTCTCTATCTCTCTATAAATAGAACTTAATTATGATACTTATTTTTCTTGAAAAGCTAATTAACTACTTAATAATTCAATTATTTGTCAATTACTAGTCAAATTTTGTTTTGTTTCTCAATTTTCGTCTAAAAACATTTTTTTGTTTCAAAATTTTAAAAACATACTTATCACATTTATTTACTTTTAACTTTTTTGGGTCAATAAGATCTCCGGTGAATTTTTGTAGTAAACCAAGGTTAATTTGGCCATTTCACCACAATTGTTTCAGTAACTTTTTAAAATTTATTATTTTTTATTATATATTTCCATCGGAATGAATCAATCACTTTGTTGTCTTCCGGTTCAGACAATTATCCATAAGAATGCACTGCAATAATCACAGTCTTGAAAGTCTTATCCATTTTTCTAAGATGACACATCATCAAATACTAAAACAACAGTATTGTTTAATAAAAATGGAGATATTACATATTGAATCGTAAAGCAAAACTACCCGTAACATACCTTCCTTTTTTACACCATAATCACATTCAAATCAAAGCCCCAATTGCAATGTCCATCCGTGAAAAGAAAAGCATTCTGTAATGTGTTTTTTCTTCTTATTATTTTTTTATTATAATAAATTTATATTAAGACAAGACATAGCCCAAGATAGAGACAGAGCCAATTATTACTCTCTTTTGAGAATTTTGGGTGGGATTATAGTTTGATCATCTCATCTACAGTAAACAAATTATAAAATACAAAAAAAAAAAAGTTGAATTGAATATCATATTTTAGTTATCTTGCAAACAGAAAATCATTGTATAAGATATAAAAAGGAAAATATAAAAATAGAAAGACATAAAATTATAATTGAAAAGTAAAAAAGGGCATGAGGTGTAAGTTGGAAGTAAGTGGTGGTATATATAGGCGAAGTAGTAGTAGTATAGATGGTGGTGGTGGCGAAGGGGCAGTTATCATAAATTCCCTTGAATAGATGGCAGAAGGAAAGTTGGAGAGAGAGAGAGAGGTTGAGTGTTGAGTGAGTTGGATGTTGGAAGAACATGGAATAAGATGCGAAAAAGTAAAAATAATAGTGGAAAACATTAACAATCCACATCATCATTGCATCACATGATTCACAGCTTGCAATTGCTTTGCATTGCAATTGCAATTGCATTTGCATTTGCATTTGCATTTGCATTTGCATTTGCATTTGCATGCTCCACGTCCACCTCACTTCACACTCCACTCACACTCATCTCACCTAAACTCAACAACAACAACACCACCACCACTCGTCACAATGCGTTCCAAATCTCGCCACGGATTCGCAATTCCCCAAATTACCCTCGGACTCCTCTTCTATTTACTCCTGCTGACCCCACGCGCGTCTTTGGCGCTCAACCTCACCGCGCTCCTCTCCACCGTGCCGGACCTCTCCCAATTCACCGCGCTCCTCGCCTCCGCCACGCCCCTCGCCGCGGATCTCTCCGACCGCTCCTCGCTCTCCGTCCTCGCCGTCCCCAACGCCTACCTCTCCGCCGACGACCACCTCGCCCGCCACCGCCTCTCCCCCGCCGCCCTCGCCGATGTCCTCCGCTACCACGTCCTCCTCCAGTTCCTCTCCTGGTCCGACCTCCGCTCCCTCCCCCCCGCCGGCAAGCTCGTCACCACGCTCCTCCAGACCACCGGGCGCGCCACCGACAACTTCGGCTCCGTCAACCTCACGCGCGACCCCCTCTCCGGCGTCGTTTCGATCCGCTCCCCCGCCCCCTATTCCCCCTCCAACGCCACCGTCATTTCGCTCGTCAAAACCCTACCCTACAATGTCACCATCTTCGCCGTCAATTCCCTCCTCATCCCCTCCGGCCTCGACCTCATGGCCTCCGAAACGCGTCCCAACCCTGTCCTCAACATCACCAATGCCCTAGTCGACGGCCACAAATTCAATGTCGCAGCTTCCATGCTCGCTGCCTCCGGCGTTGTTCAGGTATCGGATGTACTATATATTATATAATTAGTGGAATAATTCAGTTTGTTTGCATTTCTCACTAACATCATTGTATCCACTGCAACTTTTTAACTAATTAATTAATACTATTAATTGTATGCCTCATACCAGGAATTTGAGACGTAGTTCTGGTATCTGGTGTATAATTAGTGGAATAATTTACTTAATTTGCATCTCTTACCATGTTGCAAGGGACTAACATCATCATTGTTTACACTGCAAGATTTGAGTAACTAATTAATACTACTGATTATGTATCTGATTCCAGGAATTTGAGGGGTAGTTCAGGAATCAGATATATATATATATATATAGTTGGTGAAACTTTGCATTTCTTACCATGTTATAAGGGAGTAACATCGTTGTTTACATTGCTACATTTAACTAACTAATTATATGTCTGATTCCAGGAATTTGAGGCTGATGAGGGAGGAGCAGGAATCACGCTCTTCGTCCCCATTGATGACGCCTTTGCTGATCTCCCTCCCTCCGTTGCGCTTCAGTCTCTACCAGCGGATAAGAAAGCGGTGGTTCTCAAATTCCATGTACTGCATTCATATTACCCTCTTGGCTCGTTGGAATCCGTTGTTAACCCCTTTCAACCTACGCTCGCCACTGAGGCCATGGGTGCGGGTAGCTTCACACTCAACATTTCGCGCGTGAACGGCTCTGTTGCCATAAACACCGGCATTGTTCAGGCCTCCATTACGCAGACTGTGTTTGATCAGAATCCCGTTGCAATTTTTGGGGTTTCCAAGGTTCTCTTGCCGAGGGAGATTTTTGGCAGGAACCCAATTGTGTCTACCAAGCCTGTGGAGGGGGCTCCTCCGCCGGATGACGGTGCATTGTCGCCAGAGAATTCCCCGGGATTTGATGGACAACCCTCGCACCTATCATCGCCGCCAGGGTTTCGCGAAGATGTGCGGTCAAACACTGGTGGTGGTTCTGGTGGTTCCCAGTCCTTTGTTGTTCTTATTTGTTGCTGTATAGGATTGTATTTTGTGGTATAGGATTGATTACTGATTATTATTATTTTTTTTGTGGGGTTTTGTTTTAATTTTCTCCACCTTCTGTACACGGTTAATTGCATTATTAGGTTGCAAATGCAGCCTTTTTTCTTTTTTCTTCTTGCTATTTTGTTAGCTTTATAAAATTTTCGATGTTAATTGTGCCATTGATCTAATAATTAGTGTAATTATGGAGGTCAATGTAACATCTCTGCTTTTATTGTTTTTCCTCCCTTGTATTTTTTACATACAATACAGTCCAATTACATCCATTTGTTAAGACTTAAGAGTGGTTAAATAAGCCTTCTCATCTTGCTTTAGACATAGTTCTCTTCTTCGGAATTTGGGAGTGTGACTTTCCACATTGTTATCAAAACCCTTTTATGTGTTAATACCTGCTAGGTGTTGCTCGAGTGATCTTATGCTGATAGGGTGTTCTTTGCAGAGTTACTGCTGTCTTGTCTTACACCTAGAAGATGACTATCAGGTAGTTCCTTCTTTTTTAACCTACAATTGAGGATTACATATTTAATATTAACCTTTAATTTGTTGTGCAAAATCTGAAAATATCACTAGTGTGCAAGTTAAATCATAAAATTCTTTGTAAGCAGAAAAACATTAAATTTGATGTCAACAATTTTGGAATTGTTATAACTTCCTATAATATGCTGAATGTATTGAATTGATTTGTAGCTTTTTGGTGTCCATGAAATTTCTGGTTGTAGCTGTCTTATAATATGAGTTGTGAATATCTTTTGCTGCTTCCCTTTTCACACTATACACAACTGAATTTTCTTGTTTTTACAACTTAATGGTGAATCATTATCAAATTATGTATATTGGATCTAGATGATTGGATAGAATTTAAGTGTTAAGAAATTAGAAATGATCAATCTGTTGTCATGTAATGTATTGTTTCTTCTTGATCAATAATTCTGTGTTCTTATTAAATCAGTTTGTGATTTTCATTTTTGCTATGTTGCAAATATTATAGAACTGAGGGCTAAAATACTGGCGTGACTGTAAATTATAGAAATGTGAAGTTTACAGAGTTATGCTGCAAGCTTGTTGCTAGTTAAGATCTTAGATGGCTAGAGTTCATGCAATGCAAGCACAATTTTAAAGATTCTTAATAAGCATGAAGTTGCCCTTATTCTGATATTGATACGCTGGAAATAAGTGGAGACTGGAGATGATATAGTGCTGGTTGTGTGATGTTAGATTTTGAAAGGAGCAAAGAAGCATCTTGGTTGAGCCTTTTGAGAATATTAATCTATTGGAAGGAGGTTTTTTTGCCTTCTATAAACATCTTTATTTCATGCTCTTTTTCTTTTGTCATAAAACTTGTGTTTTGTTGCGACTTATCTGCTTATGCTGAAGTCCAATGTTCTTCAACCTGCAACATCTTAGACAGTTGGGATAACCACACGCCACAGGCTTCTGTGGTCCATGACTATTTTAATTTGGGGTTTGATGTTGGCAGTATTGGATGGGTAATTTATTTGTAGGTGGGTTGATTTTCTCCTAGATAAAAAATTTAGGAGAGAAATAGAAGAAAAGGCAGGAAAAATTAAAATGGATGATTTTTCAATAAAGCATTTCTATGATTGGAAGATATGATGTCATTGGTCCAAAACCCAGAAACCAAATGTGCTACCACCTATATCTTAGATAGATGGATCACCCTATGGCATATGCCACAGGCTTCTGTGGTCCATAACTATTTTCCTTTGGTTATTGATGTTGCCAGTGTCAAATAGCTCATTTTATTTATTTTTTAAATAAAAGGGGTAAACATTAAAATGTATTGTCTCGAGACCATGTAAGTCCAACTGTCGATGGTTGTCTGTTTCCTTTTGTTTTCTGTGTTGTCCTGAATAAATGCTGTAATATCGGATGTAATCTTACAAAGCTTATTTGAACGTTATGCATTTTTGGTGTCATTTTGGGTTAGATCTAGGTCGCATGTGCTAAAGTTGATTATTGTTCAACTGATAGAGATGTTCTCTTCTGGAGTTTGCTTTCTGCTATAGACTTAAGATGGAAGGGCTTTATCGTCTGACGTGTGTTTCTGTTTTGTGTTTTATTAATTTGGTTCGGAAGGATTACTCATCCTTCAAATTTGTATTCTTTATTTCTAAGTTTTATTTCACTTAAAACGTATCTTTCGTGTGTGTGTGTGACACAAGAATAAGGATTTGGACAGGCTCTGCCTCTAACATCCACTATTTCTTCTTCACGAGTGCATTTACCCCATTATACTTCGGAAGTCCAATTCGTAAATGGTTCCAAGAACACGAGTGGTAATAGCTTGTTTGCGTGTTCAAATTTAAAGAAATTGTTGAATGTACGATTAGCTAGTGTTAAACTTAAAGTGCTACATTTTGGTGGTTTGATATCTCCAAGCCGGGTACCAGCTGGGGTTAGCATTGTCATTTTATAGGACCAGGAATGGCAGGCCCATGATAGTAGGAATGTCTGTGTGCGTGCATTCGATACATGATAGTAGGAATCGAGTGAATCTCTACACTCTTAAGGTTCCAAGTATATTTTCAAGCTTCTGACTTCACAAATCTGTTATTTTATTTCTTTATTTACAAAGTCAGAAATTAAAAGTAATTGATGCATATATAATCAGAGACTAATAAAGGAAACGTTTACACATAAGAATGGGAAACATAATACAGTAATGGAACTGCGAAAATCCAATTGGAACATTTGAATGATACTTGGCACGGGTATAATTAATGTGCATCAAGTATGGTTAAACATTCTAGAGTTACTAAACAATAATCGATTTCAATTTTACTCCTGTTTGTTTTAAAGCTAGAAAATTGTCTGGTATTTCAACAGTTGCGAAATGTCTGTTAGGCTTTATTCATTCCATAAAAAAGATTATGTCCCACGGTTATGAATGATGGTGCACCAGTTAACTACTTACTGAAGTGGCTCACCTTAGAGAGTCAGAGTATACTCTAATAACTTCCCAAAAATTAGTGGAGTGAGTACATTTCCACTCGCTTATTTCTGAAGTCAATTCAAAACCAGTAAAATTAAGTGCAGCTAATTTGAAAATGTTAGTTTTGATATTTAATTCATTTTCCAATTCCATTTCCCTGTTTGGCAGTCATGTCCCGTATTATATGGTCCTCCTCTTTTATGGTTATTTACTATGTCTTTCTTTTGGATGGACATATAGACATACCATGTCTGACAAGAACGGAGGGTTCTGACTAAGCAGTATACTTTTTGGGCCATCGTAACCTCCGTTGCAAGTCTATCCACTGTTAAGTTTTCATCCTTGTAGTTATTACAGCATTAATAATGTGTGGACTTGAAGCCTTTGTATGAGGTTATACGTAGTCTTCAAGTAAAATCACTGGGGTTTGCTGCCGTACTTTCTGCATGCAGCTTTTGGACCTTTTGAAATCCTACATTTTCAAACAAGAAGTGGTATGCCATAAATTTAAGCACTAAATGTTTTGATAACCCTTCTAAACCTATTTTTGGGTGGTAAATGTATTTTTAGAGGATACTTTTTATATTTATTATTTACTCTAAACGAACTTTAACAAGAGGTGCCATGGTTATTCAAATATGTACTACTTCACCAAGATGATTTCATACCGGTCCCCCCTAGCAACCCTTGAGACTTGGAGTCTGTAGTGGCAGGACTTGTCATTGGAGTGCACCTGGGTCCTGGCTGGTTTGCTTGGTCGGCCGTATGATATGGAGTAACTGTAAAATCACTCCAATGCCCAAGACAATGCATGCCGTAGACCGTATATACAAATACAGTGTATCCTCTTCTTATGATTGCATGTTATAGGATGAACATATAGTGGGGCATCACATGTTCATTATTTTACGATAAGGTCTTCTAGAAATTGGGCGATGTAATTGTTTCAAAAAAAAAAAAAAAAAGAGTTTAGAGGGAGTGAGATTAGTCATTGGTGGGTCTAATTGATAGAATAGATTGGAGAGAGAAGACCAAGTAGATTGGATATTTTCGTTTTTTTGCATAATGCAGCTACTAGCCAGTACTACCTTTGTCTTAGTCACATCGAGGTACGGTCCACAGCTAGTAAGATGATTCAATCTGAGAGCGATTGAAAATGATTTCATTCGTGGTCCTCTACACTAACCCTAAAAGATTGAAAAACGCAATCATGGTCGATGGAAGCGTTATATTTTGTGCTTGTATCCTGTTTCTGAGGGCATCGGAGTTTCCATTAATTTGATCCATTGAGTTTGGCAAATTAATGAATATATATACCCACCTGAATACAGAAGTATGTTACGAATTTGTTGTGTTAGCAATATGCTTGTGTTCTAAGTATAAGAGGGAACAAGGGCATCTCCAATGGAAGCAACTCATTTGAGTTGTTTCATGCATTGAAAAATGAAATAAGTGGTCCCTAGTGTGCCATGTCAAAATTAAGTAATTCAAACACAAATTTACTCCGATGGTAAGAAACTTTAAGAAATCCAACTTTTATAATTTTTTTCTAATCATTTATGAACCAAATTTAAATTTTTATTAAAAAGATAATTGCACTACAATGAAAGAAAATAAATTACAGGAAAAAATACAAATAAAATAATAGTAAATACATAAATATTATACGAAATTAATTTTTATCATTATTATTTCCGAAACGTTTCTAATTATGTTCAATAAAATCTGCTTGAAATCTGGTAAGGAACGGTTGCTTGAGGAAGCAACTCTCTCTCTTCTTCAAGCAACTCATGTTGCCACGTCAGAGTTATTCAATGGCAAGAAACCGAGATTTGAGTTGCTTCATGGGACAAACAACTCTCATTGTAGTTGCTCTAAAACTACTGCTGAATAAGAAGATTGAGTTTGCATTAATTGTTGGTTAGTGGAGTCAATTACATCTACATGTTTGACTTTAGAAGCGGTGGATTAAGCCCAAATAATAAAAATATCATCCCATTCCAAAGGATTTTCTGATCTCCATGTCCAACCCTCTAAGTAATGTGAGTTTTCATCTTCGCTAAAATCTTAGCAATATTTCTCCAAACATTTATTTTGGACTCTACTAAACTTGATAAGCATACACTACGATTATCTATGTAGTTTTCAGGATGTTTCTCCCCCTCTAGACTAACTATATTAGGTTATGTTTCTTTCTTTCGTTGGAATAACCTTGCATATAATAGGAGTATAAATGGACAAAATATATAGATTGAAGACATGAAAATGAGCGACGCAACTAAATTTATGTTTAAATAACGTGCCAATCATGCTTAAATGGCGCATTATCGTGCATAATATTTGTAAATGGTGTAAAACATGTTCATCTTTGAAGCAACACATTAAATCATGTTCGATTACCAGTGGCAGGCAACATAGTTGTATAATCTGAAGGCAGAAGAAAGATGTGGGCAAGGGAAAGTCCTACGCCTTTGTTTTTGGCGTACAAAGTCCTACACTTTACCTGTTTCTTTATTGACTGACATACATACATTCTAAAAGAAATGCTAACATATTCTTTAATACATATTTTGATACAGTTTTTTTACTATTGATTAATATTCATTAAAAATCACATTTTTTGCAATCACATTTCTTATCTATTGAATTTCACACATAATTTATGTGTTTCCCCGACCAATTAGCATTTTCCTATTTTAATAATTCTTGATAACTATTAACCAATAATAAAACTTGTGTTGACAACACTCATCGTAGTTCTGATGGTTCTACCACTAACGTTGTTTGACTGGTAATTTTAAAAACAAGAAGGTACGGCTATGCCTTTAAGAAGTGATTAAACAGTCTTCTGGATTCATATTCTGTTTTTTTCATTCCCTTTGTCTGTGATGATGAATACTACTGTCGGTACCCCTTTCTTTTCTAACCTCAAGCAACATATTCCTCTTCTCACAAATGCACATGTTTCCATAAATTTGTTTGTGTAAACGTTTGTCTTTGTTTTATTTAATCCTTGTAATACAAGACTAAAAGACTGAAACACATATCAACAGGAAAAATAAAGTTAAATTTAAAACTATGAAATGTACAATGATGTTTGTGATACGAATTTCTCCTTAAAAAATCACATACTTGATGAGAGTATATGGTAAAAAGGAGAAATTCGTGTATGGTATTAGGTGTTAATTGTAGCAGTTTACTAAGTTTCAGGACTAAGGATAGTCCTAAGGTGTGTGAGACTGTGTCCGCTGTGACAAGGCTAATTGTCAACATATACTCGAACAACATCCACTATTTTAGCTCGACATATAGGACATTTTCCACTGTTCCATTGCAACTCGTTGGCACACTTGAGACACGCACACATGTGTCCACACCTGTAATAAAGTTGGTGATAAGTGAGTGCAGCTTTGCTCCGAAATGGAAATAAATAATTTCTTCAACATTCTTTCATTCAGAAGCAATTACCTGTACAGCACGGAGTCAACTTTCATCTCATAGCAAACGCAGCAGTTGCCTTTCTTTGGAGTCTTATGGGGCTTCTTTTCTTCTTTTTTAACTGTAATGGTGTTTACATTGCATGACAAAAGTTAATGTGAGAAAAATACAGAGAGACCTTATTCTACTAGAAATATTCAGCTTCAACATAACACAGGTAACGATTTCGAAAAAAAAAGGATCAGAGAGAAAATGAATAAAGTAAATTTGTATTGAAGGCTTTTTCTTGCATTAGAAGTGAAGGAGAAAACTTGTGCGAGGCAATTTTGTTTGATTTTCCTTTTGGATGAAGCGAAATCTTCTTTTTTGAACTTGCAGAATGATTGGATTTCAACCAACATAGTTGTGTTAGGAAATAAACTAGTTGAAGAACCTGAAACTTGCTTGAAAATAGTGTTTACATTTTCAAATTTATTTCAAAATTAGTTTTAGAAATTCAAGTTGACATTGTCAACGTGATATTAACTAGTTAATATTGGCAGCTCTTTTCCTTTGTGCTGGAATTCTCTGAGCTTATTCAAGAATCGGAATTCACATTGACACACAACGTCAAATGACGCATTGACCATTTTGCAGTACGACACTCATATTGACACAGTTCAATTCTATAGAAACGAGCACATTGCACAAACCTGGGTGAACCTCTTGGTTCATGGATTGTTGTAATTGCATCTGCATATCCACGCAGCCCTTTATTGTTTTCCTTAGCTCAGATATCTCCTGATAAAGTTGCTCCATTTGCCCTCTCAAATCATACATGAGTTCCATTTCCTGTAAGCAAAGCAATAATGCATTTAGTGAGATTTAGGAGCCTCGTACTGAGAAATATATCATCAGGATAATACTAAATGGGAACTCACAATTGAATGATGAGTGGTAGATGGAGACTGCCGACTATCCGGATAGAATGATCGAGATTGATAAGTTTGTGGGGATGTAGAATCAACTCTATCAAAATCGTCACCAGTTTCATTATCTCTGTAACTCCATGATGAGGATCTATTAGAATAATCACCAACTCCATGATATGAACCACTTATCAGGCTCTCTTCTTCATGCTCCTTCTCCTGCTCCTGCTCCTGCTCATCTGCATTATCCTCATCCTCTTCTTCTTCCTCTTCCTCATCCTGATTTCTCCTCTCCTCTTCTTCCTCCCCTGCATCTCTTCCTTCTTCTTGAGAAGCTCTTGCAGAATGCAAGTGTTCTTGTAAAAATGCCATCATACCTTGGCTGTCTTCCTGTTGGTCTTGAATATTGACCAAATGTGTTTGTGTTCCCCGGTGAGATTCCATCAATCTATCCATTTTTTCCCGGAAGTCACTAGAAAGGAAACTTGACACTGTTCTTCTGCAAACATAATATTATACTAATATTCAGATCAATGAAGTTTATGCAAAAAATATTTTCTTGAGTTAGTGTCCAATTCTCAAAAGTAATTGTATTCAACTTTGATTTTTTGTTTATCTAAATAGTAATAAGTAATTGTTTGGTTGTTCATCCAGTCATTTTTGCAACTGAAATGTCTTTTAGTTGACATTCATGGGAATATACAATGAGAACAAGTGACAGAATTTTACAGAAAATTACATACCTTTCAAGAAGCGTCCTTATATCCTCATTGTGAGAACCAGTTTCAAGCATCTCTCTGTACCATTCTTGCCTGCGCTCTTCCCAATAGCTCCGAGGCCTAGAAATTTCACTGATCCAGTCATAGTTAGTTTCATCACAATTGTGGTCAATGTCCTCTACCTCATCCTCTATCTCATCATCATAACTGCTTTCAGAATAGTTCTCATTAATTGGCTCTTCTTCTACTGTCTCCAAGTAACTGGTTTCAACATACTGCCTGTTACTTGCTTCTTCCTCATTCACTGTCTTATCATTACTGCTTTTAGCCACAGCATTCTGTTGGTTGCTCGTCTCTGCCCTATCCACCATATCGTTTAGATTTGAATCAATCATGGTTGTAGTTGCCTCAGTAGTTTCTTTTGAATCATGATGTAGAGCCTTGACATCTGAACTAGGATGTGGTTCTTGGACCACGACATCTGAAGTGGGATGTGTTTCTTGGACCATGACATCTGAACTTGGATGAGCTTCTTCTGTATTATGATCTATTTTAGCCTGTGACACTGACTTTTGTGTGGATTGTGTAGCGTGAATGGAAGTGCCACAAGCTGTCTTATTGCTTTTGTCTTTTCTGAGTTGCTTAGTTGTGGCAGAGTTATTCAATTGTGGGGTGTTGTTTACTGTTTCCCTTTGAGGACTTCTTGCGTTAGCTACTTCTGTCTGAACCGGAGTTCTAAGTTCAGCTCCACTGCTAAATCTTTCCCTGTGTTTTATAAAAGCATTTGTCATTTGATATCTTTCAGGAGAACTTAATTATGATGGATCTTGGTGTGTTGTTCATTTTATAATAAGACATAAATTTAGATGTCACAAGAATGAACACCATCTGATGAGTTATAGATATAAACTTGGTAATATTTATAGATATAAACTTGTGCATATAATAAATGCAAACTATATGTATCTTGTGCAGCTTGGCAGTAGTGATCGCATGACATACTCGATAAATGAAATATTATTGAGATAACAACCAGCTGTAAAAGGAAATGCTTGATCCAACTGTGCATTTACACTCTTCATATGACATTCCTGCCTAAATTTCACTTTATGGAATGTAATTTTGAGTTTCAGAACCCAAACAAATAGATAATAGTCCATAACTGCAAATAGACATTTAAAATTATACTCTTCAATGCATTTTTCCACTACCTTGAAATTCAATAACTAATTTCTTTTAGGCAAGATAAATCAATAGGTTTGGTTAAATCGAAGGAATTCACTCAACTGCCGAATTAGTATCAATAACTAAAGGAATAAGAAAGTTGACACTTGACTGGAAATGATCAAACCTTAATTGCATAATAATTGCGGATCCCCCCGGTGGTTGTCTGTTGTTGTTTACTTCAGATTCTGTTGATTTCTGGCGGGAGGGATCATTAGCTGCCACCTCACGTTGCAATAATCTAAGTCGAAGCACTGCCTGAATTCATGCATAGAAAACGAGTCACAATCAAAACTAGAGAAAGCCATAACAAACAAAAAAACAGAAAAACCAACCACCCTTTGGTGTTTTCATTACCTGAATGCGACCTCTTTGTGCAAACCTGGACACTGCTCCACGCTCTGCCAGGTTGTTTACCTCCCTATGCCTGTCATTCTCCATGTGCATAAGCAATTCATTGTACGCTTGGCGCCCTCTAATTCGCAGAGAAAAATTAATTCTCTGGTTCTGCTCCACATGTTGCTGTGTGGAGACACCACCGCATTCACGTTCTCTACAAGGAGAGCTTGTCACACTACTACCTGTCACGCTACAGCTACCACCATACCCTTCATGTTCATTTTCATCAACAAAAGAAGGTGTTGGACTCTGATTCTGCTTCGTAGTAGTGAGCTTCCTTATGATATCAGCAACACTGACCCTGTCCTTCTCCGACCTGCCACCTGGCGAAACAGAATGGTCACTAGAATCCCAATCAGGGAACGGTTCTTCATTTGATGGTCCATCAAAGCACTGTTCCTCCACAGAGAAAGCATTAGCATTCTCATTCTCGCTTTCATTCTCACTCTCATTCTCATTTACAGCATTGGGAGAAGAGGAGGAAGTGATCCTGTCCACAGACATATTGGTTTTGGACATACCGGATTTGTTCAACCTCTTCTCCCATATCTGCACGAGAGAAGAGGCACCCATGTTCCGAGTCTCTGATGAGGACTCTTCAGAGGTGGAACTAGAAGTCCTTGGAAGCGTGTCATTGTCGTCCATGGACAACAACTCAGCCTCGTTCTCCAAATTTGACACCATCTCACGAGCCTGTTTTGCGGCCCATCGATCGAGAAGCCTTGAGTGTCTCGGGCTGATCAATGAGGCCAATGAGGATTCGTCTTTATTGTTATCATTGTCATTGTTGTTGTTGTTGAACGTTTTGGATCTCGTTAAACATAGCCTTTCAAGGTGGTTGTTTTTGGGAGACTTACGCTGCTTGCTGTTGTTGTTATTGCTGTCACTACTACTACTGTTGTTGTTTTCGTTTGTTGTGGAATCAGAAGACACGGCCATGCACGTGTTAAGATCGATCACAAAGTTGTTGATGTTTCTCTGAAACGTAGCAGCATTATGCGTGCCCTTCACGTTGCTCTCCCTGCATGCTTCCCGGTGATTGCGATCCCTTAGGACACAACCAAACGGCGAGGAGGAAGCAATTTCAACCTCGGAAGATGCCATTTTTGCTCTTTGTCTCGGTTAATTCAAACGTTCACGAGGGAGTGAGTGAACGTGGAAACATGGGAACCCATTTCAGGGAAGTGGGTGGAGAGATTGGAGACATAGCAACCTCACGAGACTATTCTCTTTTTCCTCGAACAAACGGAAAAAGACAAAGGGGAAGAAAAAAAGAGTGTGTGTTAAACAGAGGAGCGGTGAGAAGAAGAAGGAGAAACGATCGTTGTTATACGAAAACGAAGGAGGGTGTTTATGGATTATAACTGGTCACAAATCATCATTACCACATTCCCGTTTTTCTTTGCCTCTATTTAGAGTCTTATGTAACGGACGTGGAGAAAACGAAACAACAACGTTGCTTCTTTCCTCGTCCTTTTTGGTGAGATGGGTGTGGCTAAAATTGGAAGAAGCGTTGTTGTTGGTGAGAGAAATAAGGAAACAAGGGTACGAGGTTACGAAAACAGAGAAGGTGGTGGTGAGTGTTGTTATGGATAAATAGAACAGTGTAGTGCAGTGAGGGAGACGTTGGATTTGAGCCGTTGAGATTGTGGGGTCGTTGAGTGTGCAAAGGAAAATAGTAAACATAAACAAAGAGAGCGTGAGAGTTTATTATTATTGGTTAAGTGTATCGCTTTCTCCTTTATCGTTGTGTTGACCAAATTAAGTTGACAAATGCTGTGTTGTTAGTTGTTACCATTTTCATTTATAAGCCTTAATTGTTGTGCTTCATGGCTATGCATCTTCATTCACCCACTTTATGCACCTTCCTTCATTTCAGACACTTTCCAGATTCTGTACTTTGGTTTATTACCTGTTCCCAATCCTAAATTCATTTTCACCAACTCTTTTCATCACCACAGATACATCATTTCGGGGAATCATTAATTAATTACTAAAATAATCATTCTTATGAATAATTATAGTTTATTTGACAGGTCAAAAATATCTTTTGAAATATACACATTTTTAAAACTCTGTATAAAACTTATACAATTTTTTTTTATAATTAATTTGAAATCAATTATACAAGTTTTTAAATTGATTATGATAAAATTAACATTTTTTTAATGATACCACAATCATACTTGAATGATAGTATAATCGAAAGATTTTAGTGAAAAATATAAATAATATTATGGATAGTGAATATAAATTTAGGATTTTAACATTAATAACGTATTAAATATTTCACAAACAATAAATGAATTATTAATTATAATACAATTAATATGAAATTTAATTACATATATAATATAATATAATAATGTAATTGAATAATATAGTTTTTTTTTTTACAAACAAAGTTGACTATAAATTGTTAGGTTTTATTTTATTTTATATCTTAAGTATAAATGAATAATATTATAATATCAATAATATATATATATATATAGGGGGCTTATAATTACACCGGTGTAATATATAAAAGATTTCATCTTAAATTAATTTGACTTGATAAAAGATAAGTAAAGTTTGATCAAGAATAAGAGTTATATAGTTTTTGAATTTTATAAAAGTTTATGAACTTGACCCTTATTAATAACATTAAAGTTAACAATTGAGTTATTAAAATTCAATGCATATAATGAGTTATTCTCAAAGTTAGTGAATTTTTTTCATGCTCATCAAAATTGGATTGAACCAGTTGGTTTAACTAGGAACCAATCCTTAACCGGTTGGATTTGCTCATAAAATTGGTTTAACAAAATAGTCAAATCGATTCAATTAAAAAAATTATTTTTAATTTTTAAATTTTAATTTAAATATTTTATTAAAAATATATATTAATTTATAATTTTTAATATTATTATTTACTATAATGTATATTACTTTAATTTAATACTTTTTATTTAAATATAAATTTGTTATTATTAATGGACATTATTATATTTTATTAAAATTTTAACTTAAATATTTTACTATATTTAGTTTAGAATATTATGTACACATTGAATGTTAAGAATTTATAAATAATATTTATTTTAATTTTTAGTGCTGTAAAATTATAATATTATATTTTTAGTATTATTTTTCATTAATAATTATTATTATAATTTTATTAATATCGATTTAATTATAACTCAACTACAACTAAACCTTGAATTAATACGTAAATCGGTTTAATGGTTAGTCTAATTTTGAAAACATTGATATTCATATACATAGGGTTTAACTCTTTTAAAATGAAAGGACAATTGTTGATTAAAAAAATTAATTATTTATAATTATGATAAAATCAAATACATGTATAATAAAATCTAAAATTAATTATAATATCCATCATTAATATTTTAATTAACAATTATTATTGCACTTTATTTTCTAAAATGAATTTTTTCATTTTAGAAGAGTCAAATCCTATTTCATAATATCATCTTCAAAATACTCTTCATTTAATTAAGATTTTATTTTTAATAAGTTTTATTTAATTTTTTGTATATGTAACACCATGTTTATGTATTTATTTATTTTATATTAGTCATATATTTATTTGAGAGTTATGTTTTATGTTATTTTGAGTTGCTGTATGTGTTTTTCTATCTGTGTCATGGTGAGAGTTAGAATTTAGATGACCTTAGGCTTAAATTATAGAATATATAGCTTAAGTCTAAAGTTAGCTTGAGGAGGACTGAGGTTATAAGGTGAATTTTGTGAAAATAAACTTAATAACTCAAGATTTATAGAGAGAAGTTAGAGAGAAAGTCTGTAGAAACTCCAAGTTACGATTTAAGCATTTGAGTGAATTTGAGGTTGTGGATTTTTCCTAAAACTAAAAATTGGTGAATATCTTTTAGCCTAAGATTGTAGAACTAAGATTCTTGAGGATCAAAGTTTTGAAAGCCCTAGGACTCACTTTGGTTGCTCAACGACTGGACCAAAGTGAGTCCATCTTGCCTAGCAAGTTGAAACTTTCCTAACGAGAGATGTTTTGTCTCTTGTGTTGTTTTTACCCCTTTTAAGTTGTTTTGAGGTATTTTGTATAAATAATTGGATATAATATGTTGTGTGATGCTAAATGTGATAAACTTGAGAAATAATTATATTTAAGTTGTTAAGTTGGTGATGATTCATATGATGATTTTAAGTTAGTTTGAGTTAAAAGCAATAAGTATTGTGTGAATAAAACATGTGTTGCCTATGTTGAGATATGTTATAAGATGATATTAAAACATGTAATTTTTATATAAGATTAAAGACTATATAAGTTGACTTGAGTTGTTTGGTGATGATAAGTTATTAGTTACTTGAATTGAATGGTATTATATTGAAGTTGTGTTAATTGAATTGCTGAAGCTATATTAAGATGTTTAAATGTTTTGGGTTGGTAAAATAAGATAAAAGGAATCAACCAATGATGTGTTGTTTATATGATATGTTAAAAAATGGTAAGTTGGTGGAAGAATAAAAGAGATTGCAAAAATGATTGGTAAGGATTTAAGGTAGACAATGTTATTTTTAACTTATGTTGTATGAGTAGATCGAATTGTAACTTTTTTATTTTTATTTTTATTTTTTTATATTTGAGCCCAATACACATTATATGTTATTTACATCTAATATTCATTTTCTTTAAAAAAAGAAATACTTTCACTTTTCATTCTTTTGTACCGGTGATTCATAAAATGAATATTAATGAACATTAATTCCTCTTCTTTTAAATCTAAAAAGTTGCAAAATAAATACCAAATTTTAATTTTAAATTGAATGGTAAAAAGTATATATGTAAAGGTAATAGAATCTAGATGTGAATTTTTTTTTTAATTAAGTTGTGAAATGTTTGAAGAACATATATGGTCACCACCGGACATTATAAATAGAAGTGAAGTGGGTACTTCGACTAAGGTTTGCGGAGTGGCTCATTATGCTTCCGACATGAGTGGTTGCGGACTCATTTTATTTTTTATTCATTTTTTTTTAATTTTAAACAAGTATAATTATATCAAATTTTTGGTTTGACACTAAGATTTTAATATTTAGGTGATATATTTAAATTTTTAAGATATTAATGTTTTAATATTTGGTCGATGTATTTAAATTTTTAAATTTATAAGACATTAAAATTTTGATATTTTATTAGAATATAAATTTTGATATTTTATTAAAATATGCAAACATTAATATGTCAAGACTTTGATCTTTTATGTAAAATGTTTCATTTTATTATAAATGTAATTATATATCAAATTTTCATAACTTATAAAAGGAGAGAAAAAAAATTCTCTTTTAATTTGAAATTTTTTTATTTTTATTTTTCATATTTTCATTAGATTTGCAAACCGGTCCATTTATCCTCAGATTACATCTCTCCTTTCAAATAAATACACCTTTCTCAATTTTTTGTCAAAAATTTTCTTAAATACCCTTTTAACTTATTCCTTTTCAAAAATAAATTTAACTTTCAAAAACTTTTTTTTTTCTCATTCATCCCTCTTCTTCCTTCCCTTTTCTTCATTACTCCACCCCTCTCTAATTCATATGTTTCTCTTCTTTTTAGGTTTAATTTTTTTATTTTTGCTTTTTTCTCAATAACAATCAAGATTTCCACCGACTCAACTTAAACTATATTTTTGCATTCTTAATTTCAATAATTTTTAAACTTCAAATTTTTACTCTATTTTTAATATTGCATACATTATATAAAAGGTTGTAAACTTATATGAAGATTTTGTTTCCAAAAACATGATCTATTGATTTATGATAAATTATTAATTATAAATAATACTCTATTATTATTATTATTATTCTAAAATTGTGTTTTTTATTCTTAATATAAATTTTCAAAAGAGTTAAAATATTTTTCTTTGTAAAAAAAGTTTTTGAAAGAAATTTTTTTAGAAAGTACTTTATAAAATAGTAAATTTATTTATGATTATTTTTTGAAAATGTATTTTTTTTCTTTTCATTTGGAAGTATGTTTTTACTCATGAAGTTTGAGATATGAAACATACTTTCAAAAATCACTTTCTAAGAGCAAAAAAAAAAATATACTTTTAAAAAGTGTTTTTTGGAAGAAAAAAATAAATATATTTTCAGAAAATACTTTTCAAAAAATACTTGTTGTCTTTCGTAATATATTTTCTAGAGATATATTTTTACTCTTAAAGTTTGGGTTGTAAAACACATTTTTAAAAAATATTTTTTGAAAGCAAAAAAAAATTATACTTTCGAAAAATATTTTTTAGAAGAAAAAAAAAAACACTTTCATAATATACTTTCTAAAAATTTTTTTTAGAAAGTACTTTTTGAAAATATAATTTCTTTAGCAAATATTTTTCAGATAAAAGATATTTAAAAAATAAACAAAGAAAAATATTATTTATTAATGGAAGTGTGTATAATAAAAGCCATAATTTTTTACCACTTATTTTACATACCAAATTTATCCATCTCGTGAAAAATATAGATTTCACGAGTCAGAACTTAAATACATCGGATGGGCCATATCCCTAACCTACCCGGTAATTATAAA